CCTCCTCCTCCTCCTCCTCCTCCTCCTCCTCCTCCTTCTCTCTCAATTTTTAAAAATATTTTTTAGATGTCAATGGACCTTTATTTTATTTATTTTTACCTGGTGCTGAGGATAGAACCCAGTGCCTCACACATGCTAGGTGATTGCTCTACCTCTGAGCCACAGCCTTAGCCCTCTCCTGTTTTCTTTATTTTTTATTTGTAATCCCCACATACTGGTTTCTGTCCGTATTTATTTTATTAAAATTTATATATGGATATGTACGTGTGTGTGTGTAAGTGTGACAGAGAGAGAGAGAGAGAGAGAGAGAGAGAGAGAGAGAGAGAGAGTCTGTGTGTGTGTATAGATAATTCTCTATTAACATATTCAGATTAATTCCTTGCCCTCAGGTCTGAGTGTGTCCCACCAACGTGTCCAGGCCACAGTCCTGCAATATAATATCCTGATTGGTGACGGTTACACACCCTCTGAGCTGAAGCCAGATGCATTGAGCTTCACGTGCCTTTGCAGATCTGTTTCCCAGGTGATGTTTCTACATGGGAGATTTGGGGGGTCAGGTCGTACTCTCTGATATCCTAATACTTTCTTAACAGGTGCTTCACATTGTCCATGTTTAGCATTGCTGCGACACAGCTKCGACTTCTCTTTGCAGTTTCCACAGTGTGCTTTTGATCACCAGGCCTGTGGGTGCATTACCCCTGTTTTCAAGTTTCTCCCATGATGAGCAAATAATATGTTGTTGTTTCTCAGTCATTTCTCTGAATTCATTCCTTAGTCATTTCTCTGGAAAATTTCTGAGAACTTCCTAGAATCTCCAGAAAAAATTCACATGAGCATATTCTTCCCACTGAAAAAGAGCACTAGATGTCGATCTAGAGCTGATTTTGGGAATAAGTGTCACTATTTGAGACCTAAGAGAAGAAGAAAGGATGAATCATTAGTTTAGTGGAGGCATTTTGAGTTTATATTCAGGCTGAGTGGATCCTGAATCCCAGCACAAGTCTTTAAAACTCATGGGGCTTGGAAACATTCCTTTAAGGGTTGCTGGCTCAGTGGTAGAGACTTACCTTACACATGCGAGACTCTGGGTTCCATCCTCAGCACCACATAAAAATAAATGAGTGAAATAAAAGTATTGTGTCCAACAATTTAAAAAAAAATTTAAAAGTTTTATAAGCCTCCTTTATAAGAAAATGCAGAATGATTCCAACTGTCAAAATGCAGGCAATTCCTCAGTCTCAACTTTACCCACAACCTTGATGGTTTGCTTTTACTCTGACACATGTCAAAATGCAGAATGTTTAGCTGGACACGGTGGTGGCACATGCCTGTCATCCCAGTGGCTCAGGAGACTGAGTTAGGAGAATTGCAAGTTCAAAGCCAGCCTYAGCTGGCTTAAGACCCTGTTCCTAAATAAAATACAAAATAGGGCTGGGGATGTGGCTCAGTGGTTGAGTGACCCTAAGTTCAATCCTCAGTACCAAAAACAAACAAACAAACAAACAAAAAAAAAAAACCCAAAATGCAAAATGTTTTTCCAAAACCTCGAGTCTGGGCTTTCCTTATTTGCCATGGTCTATATAAAGCTGTGATCATGGAAATATGTTATTTGGGTCCCTAGGATCAAAAAGCCCTGAATGCTTTGGCTTTGGCTTTCATAACCCTGTCATGGGAACAAGCCCACGTGAGCCTTTGGGGAAGGAGAACTTTTGGGGGCAGGAGAATCAAAGTGCTCAGATTGACAGCCAGCTCATTCACTGAAATTCAGCCACCTTATCAACCATGAGCTAATTACATGCAGCATTAGACCCCAGCTGAACCAGTCTGAATTGGTTACCAGCTTCATTATGAGCCAATAAATTCAGGATTTTTATCCAGCGATAGAGAAGTAAATCACAAGGCAGAGTGGGTGCCAAGATTCAATCACTTGGGACATAGAGTTTCTATGGCAAACAAGAGGTGCCTGACAGATGCTGATTTTTTTTTTAAATGCATGTGACCTCCAGGGACACCCACCTGTGTTTGCTTTTGGAATCTGAAGTGGGAACGGCTCTGTGCCCAGTTATCAGGTGAGACATAGTGGTCACCATCTAGACGCCTCCTGGTTGGAGCTCCCTGCTCTCTCCAACAGCATCTCTCCTGGTCTCTGACCTGGGTAGTGAAGAAGTGCACTCCCTCCCCCSGGGCAGGGTTGCCTTCTCCCTAAAGTCAGGGGACCAGACCTCTGCAAACTGGAGCATCCTCTGTGACCTGAGATGCATTGGAGGGTTAGAGTGAGTTCTGAAGGTCTACCTCCAAAATCTACATAACTTCATGAGGAAGTTGATATTGGAAACATCATAATATTTTAAATGCCCTGGGTTAAGTTATTGCAATGAGATTTCATGGTTCTTTTTAATCTTTAACGTGTGCATGTTGGAGAATCTTAAATGACACCTGAGACACATTTTATCAGTGTTGGAAGTTGCTGCTAATTTAGGGAGTTGTTTCCAAGTTCAAAGCTCAGACAGCCTCCTGATGAGAGCAGAAAGCAGAAAAGTCAAATGAAATGTTAAAGTGATGGTTAGGAAAGGGTGGGTGGTGGTGGGGAGATCTTGAGACACTGCAGATTGTTTAGAACTAATCGCAAGGACTCACCGTGGTAGAGACTGGAGATGATGGAYAGGGACTGAGTGTCCACTCCAGAGGGTGACCCATTAGCCCTCCTCGGGGCAGCTCAGCTCCTAGGGCACTCTGTGTGGTAGCGGGGTGTGGGGTTCCTGCATGAGAATAACTGTGATCTCTAGGGATCCCCATTCCTCCTTCCTCCTGAGCTTTCTAAATGTCTGGAAAGCAGGGTTCAAATCCAGGAGATGCCAGTCCTGCCATTTGGCTCTGCATGGGTCTCTGAATGAATTCCTCCATTCCCAACTCCCTGTCCACCTTGCCAATGAGAAATTCCCCCTCCACGAGATCAACTCGGTGGAGGTGTGGGGCTGGAGCCTCTCAGGAGCCCTGCATTTCCAACGTTTCTGTGGTTGGCTGCAATTAGCTACTGTGACTAGCACCAGATCCCCAGGACTGTAGCCATCGGCTAGACACCCCAAGTCCCATCTCTTTAGCTGTATACCCAGGATTATTATTATTGCATCCAATGGTGGTTCTGTCTTAATTTTTTATGCAGAACCTTTAGACTAATTTCTGAAAAGCTGTACAAGACCAGGCCCTGACTCTGGATGGGTCTCAGTGGAGGATGTGGGTACCTGTGTGTATGGCGGGGGGCTGTCCTCCTGGGTTGTGGGGAAATGAAGGAACCCCAGACCCATGTCACCTCTCTTCCACTCTGGGACTTGGTGCCCAGCTGACTGGAGAGGGAGAGGCATGTGGCATCCTCCTGTCCCCAGGCTGCCTGATCCAGGGTGGTAATTGTGGGACCATAAATACCTGTTTGAATGTAGGTCACTTATTTTTATTTATTTTATTTATTTTTCAGATTTGTTGCTGGAGGACGAGAGGTGAGTCAAAGAGAAGGAAGAGGCCCTGGTGAGAGGTCCATTGGACCCTCTGGTTTTTATGGTCACGACCTAGTTGTAGCAGGGCCATTGGTCACTAGGCCTGTGACTCTATCCGGCTCTGGGACTTGGTGCTCCACTGTTGGCTCATGACTGAGCTCATGTCCAGTGAGTGAGAAAGGCAGTTTCTGAGGATGTGGGTCATGGTGGCTGCTGTAGCTTCTCCTGATGTGAAGGAAGGGGTGCTCAGGGGACCCTGGACCCTTCAGTCCTGAGTCACGCCAAGGAGGGGTGTGGAGGCTGCCCTCAAAACCAGGRGCTTCTAGATGGGTGTGGACCCAGCTGGCCAGGTCACTGCGGCAAGAGTTAAGGGGTCACAGGGACACCCGTGAGAAGGAAGGAGACAGAGGGCAGAGGAGCAGGCTGGGTACCCTGATGGACACAGGATCCTGACATCCGGCTGGCCATGTGTGGAGAGCATGGCCCTGTCCCAGGAGTTTGGACTCCGAGCAGGGGGTGGGTGCCCTGCAGGAGGGGCCAAACCTCCCTGGGGGGGTGGACAGGTGAATGGACCCCAGACAGACCC